GCCATAACATGTTTTGTTATACAAATCTTACAAGGTAAATATTTTATATTTACTTTAGTTGTTTGTTTTGCTTTGTTTTCCAACCTGTAAATTACGCCACTGTGAGCCCTTCCACCTCACGGGATCCAAATCAGTAATACCAGTGATGGTGCCCATATACCTGTGTGATGCATTCACAGATTTGTTATGTTATGTTATATCATACACAATATACATAGGAAGGAGGATTCATGTTTATATAAGAATTTGGGCTCTCCTTTCCTACTACCTCCGTGTTCCCGATTCTTCGGTCTCAAACATCATGCGAAAACGCATGCCAAGTGATACTTGATTCCCATAAACTGCCTTGTAATACTTTGCCAAAGGAATGACAAACTCCGAAGGGCTAGCCCTGAAAAAAGAACAGTCTCAGAAAGCAGGAGGAAGAAAAAAAAAATATAATCCTATATTTTTACTGCGATATGAGCATTTTATAAATACTAATAGAGACAGTAAAAAAGTCACCTTGGGTTATAAAACACAGTAAAAGGGCTGTTATTTGCAGCTGCATGGGCAGCAGCAGCTAGGATCCCAATATGCATGCTATCACTTGACAACACCGATGAAGACAAGTTGGCGGGTTGCCTATTTGCCCTTCTTATGCCCAACAAGAGCTGCTGCTTCTCATCCCTTTCCACAAAATCATCAAATTTAAGTTTAGGTATGCATAATCACAAGCCAAGAAGAAGAAGTTCCTGTAACATGCCATTTCTTTTAAAAAAAATTCTTTTGCGCGTTCTTCTAAACTAACTCATCCTCAACCATTCATTGAACTCTCTCATATTTTCTTACCGAATAAACAAGACGGAGTCACCAGCAAAAAGCCTCTTTCCACTTACAAAAAGGCTCCAACCGGTTGTCAGCAAGTGTCTTTTTGGTTGTCCTGCATTAGGTAGAAGAGCAGCAGGTGAAAAAAGGCATTAGAAATGAGGAAAATCGCCTGAGAGCCTAACAAGTTAAATGGTAACTCAAACTTACCACGATATATATGGCGAAAACTCCAGACATTGTCATGCAAATCTCTGGCAACCAGTTCTTGAGCAGGCGGTTGCATTGAGTAATCCTGTTGGACATATGAATCTTAGACGCATCTTCAAAATAATAATTACCCGTAACATTATTACGGAGTATTATAATACAAATGTTCAGTCTTACCAGAGGAGGGAAGATCTTGTCTGCAGCACGGCGAGGTACAGAGAAACCTCCATGAGTACTGGTATCACTAGCAGTCAAAGTCTTACAGAAAAATTCTGTCTGAGGTTTGCTCACTTTCATTGACAAATCTGACCTCAATAATGATTCCTTGTCAATCTGCATGCAAAAAAAAAATATAGCAATGATCATATTCCATTAGAAGTGAACTATAGAAATGAAGAATTCAAGATCAAAGCATGAATTATACCGAAGGAACTGGCTGAAGTGTCATCTGTGCATATACTTCATCAGTTTCGGGATCAGCCTAGGATGCAAGACATTCAAGAAATTCAGCTGTTTAATGAAAAAACACCTGAGGGCGGATCGAACTTAGACGCATTTATAGACTGAATACATACATGCAGAGTGACATTATGGAGGTAGCATATCAATTTTGAGGGAAGGTTGGGGTAGTTTGGTATCTGAGCATCCACGTCTTTCTTCATCGACGCTGCAACCTGGATATAAAATGTGAAATTGTGAATTAAATAACCAAACAAGATATCGAAATATTTTAAAAACCATACAAACAAAAAATGTAACTTTTTTGGTACACCACATAGTAATGGAGAAAAGGAGGTTTGTCATGCCATTCATATTTGAGACGACAATCCAACCGGTAAGCCGAGGAAAGTTAAGTCTCGTCTTACTTGCAACTTCCGGGATGGGGTGGGGCCCAGCCCGGAGTTCCAAGTAAACCATTTTTAATCTTTTTTTTTTTAACCAGACTTGATGAACATTGATAGACAACATGGAAGCCCACTTGACCCCATTAAATCAAATCTTGGACCCATGTTGACACATGAGGCCAAATACTCTATATAGCTTAGCCAGGCAATGTTCAATAATTGCCCTTTACAGACCCCCCCCCCCTCCCCAATGGTCAACCACCCACTTTCTTAGAACACCAAAGCATTGGCTAGCAACAGCCTTGCCAAAAACAGTCTGTCCATTTCTTGATCCCACACTCTTAGTTTTTACAAGCAAAACATGTCCATATCTTCATGATCATATATACACTTCCAAGAAAAGACAAAAAAAACAGGCAATTTATTAGGTATTAATGCAACAGGTGAGAGATGGTAAAGATTTGATCCTCAAAGATTTCACTTTAACATACAAGCATTAAATACACCCATATTAACAGCAGATGAAAAGGAAAAGAACATTTTTAAAAAAAAATCACTAATTGAAAACAAACAAGCGTGCGAGTAAGCAAGAAACTGACACCCGGTGAAAAGGGAAGTAGCTTGCACCATAACGGCGCAAGTTAGCAAAGTCGAACCTGTTCACTGTGGCCCTGTGGGAAATAGACGACGTGGGTCCCAGCCACCGGCAGATTCACCAGAGGTCCGGCGCACGCCTGCCATAGCTCTGGGTTTATGCTCTTCTTCTCAGCTGATATTGTATTTTAAAATTAAATTTATGAGCTTCGATTCGTCGTGAGTCAGAGATCAGAGCAGCATAAGAAGATCTTTCAAGAAAATAAAAATCCCATTTTTTTTCAAATCAAGAGATGAAGTAGAAAGTTCAGATATAGAGATCCAATCGTCTCAAATTTTCCATTGTCAAAGAAAAGAAATGAAAATGACGAATCCCAATAATGGAAGGGAAGTGAAAAAGGAAAAAAAAAGCTTTCTTTTTCTTGATTCGGCGATTCCTGAAACGCATTGATCTTCACCAGAAATGGAAGAAAGAACTGACCTTCAGGTGGATTGGCGGCAGCCATCGGTGGCGGCGTGGTCTTCATGGTAGTAGTTGAACCGCCAAAAAACACACTTCCCGAGCTGTAAAACGAACACCCAGAGCGCACTCACCGGATACTCATCTCCGCCGTCAACAAATCGGAGCTCCGGTACCCCCAAAATCCGGCCAGAGAGCAACAATCTGGATTTATGGAAAAAAGATGTAATCTTTCCGAAGCTCCCAGACAGAACAAGACAGGTAGAGAAGCCCCAAGCTAGTCAACACAGTTCCAGGGGGAACCGGGAGAAATTCCCGGCGGGAAGAGGTCGCCGGAAAACGGTGGAGGGAGAAATAGACGGCGGCGACACGGGGAGCTTTGGAAAAAGATGGGATGTTGAGGATTGCAGAGACCAAATGCTGCAATTCAACTTTAGATTGCCCCCTATACTGCTACACCCTTCAGACACACACAAACACAGTCTTACTTTCTCTCTCTAAAATCTTCTTCTCTATCTCTCTATCTCTCTCTGAATCTCTGTAGGTGTTCTTCCCAGAGTTTGCCTTTTTCTATCTCTATTGTTTCCAAAGCTCTCTTTCACTTTATTAATTTATCTCTCCATTGTTTCTTTCTCTTGTTTTTCTCTCTCTCTCTCTACCCAATGTTCTTAGTTTTTTCCCCTTGGGTTTTTTTTTAAGTTTTTTAATGAAGAGTAATTAATTTTCCATTATTTTCTCTTTCAAGTTTCAAAAGGTCTCCTCTCAATCACTCATATTTCAAAAGGGGGGCCATATTGGGATCAAAACATTTTTAGAGGGTCATACGAGATTGAACCCCACGAAAGATATACTCCTATCAAAGACTATTGTGTTCGGTGAGAAGAAAAATTTAAGGAATGTAATTGGTTGGTCAAACAAATTACGGAGTATGTTCCAAAAAAATATATCATTTTAGAAATTATGGTCACTTTATTTTTTGATAAATTAAAATATATTCTTTTCACTATTTGTTTTGAAAATTCTTGACGTAATTTTTAAATATGTAAATTTGATTTTTTTATTATTAATCTTTAAATAAAATAAATTTAAAAAAACATAAATTTTTGTTTTGTTTTGTGTAATGTAGCAAATACTTTGGTAAGAGGGAATAGAAAATAAATTAATCTTCATTCCTTTTCTAAAATATACTACTTCGTACATAATTTTATTGTTGAAATTTGTTTAGAAAAATATACAGATAATATATACAAATAACAAATTTCTTTTCTATAAAAAGGTACAAAAAGCATGAATTGAACTGAAAAAGAGTTTCGTTAGATAAATTTCATGAGAAAAGGTGCATCAATCGCTTCATCTACACCGTCCGATCTGTTTTCGACGAGAAAAGGTATTAGTCTAATAATAGTCTTTACAATAATAAATCGTTTTCATAAGAGGATATTAAGTGGCAACGACGATTGGATATATAAAAATTTTGTTTTCCGTTGTGCTATCCATGATATGTGTGGTTACCCAGCAAGTTAAAACATCACTACCACATAGTTTTAAAAAAAAATTAAAGTTTTGCGAGCAAATTAAAGTTAAAATGATTATAAAGAGTCTCGCATTCTCATTTACACGTGAATAGATGTGCTAGAATATGAAGTCAACTTTTTTATGAATGTACAACACGTGTGACATTTTGGTCAAGTTATTTTCTTGACATTAATAAAAAAATCGAGTAATTAATAAGTTTGAGATGTAAGAATGTCAACAAAATCTCAATAACATGCACATTAACTCAACTATATGTTGCGATCAAGCCATGGTCCAAATCGCATAAGCTAAAAGCCATGCTCAGCTCATATCTTCCTACCTAGGCAAATCGGACATTCCACCCAGCTTTCAACCCCAAATAAAACTGAAATCATGTATATTAATAACAGTTTTACAACAAAAAATAGAGTACTAAAAATAATAATATTAGCTGTATATATTTGATTATTTATTTGTATGTATTATCTTGTACGGGCCTGGCCCAGTTGTTATAGTAGTAGTCCATGTACTCTGTATATATACTCGGTGTAACCATTGAATTAATCACAATAGTTTTCACACAATTTCTTCATGGTATCAGAGCCTATTCCCGGGCATAACAAAAAACCCTAGTTCCCAAAACCCTAGTGCCGTGTTTGTTCTCGTCGACTCACGTCGGACGTTTCCACTGCCGCCTCATGTCGGTGGTTTTTCTCGCGCCGTCTCACGCTGGTGCTCCTTTTTTCGCCGGCTCACGTCGGACGAACTTACTGCCATCTCACGCCGGTGCTCCTCTTGACAATCGTTGATTGTTCTTTGTGAAGACATGACAACCGAAACTACAAAAAAGGTTAGGTTGATTCACGATCCTACGTCTTTATACTATATTCACCCGTCAGAAAGCGCGGGAAATTCTCTGACTAAACACTTGCTCAAAGGGGACAATTATGATGTATGGGAGAAAACCATTCTCAACGCCTTGGAAGGACGTAGCCGGGCTGGTTTCTTGACACCCACGGGTTTCCCCAAGCCTACCGACGAACAGGAACTTGCGGCATGGACAGCCAACAATTCTATCATTTGTTCCTGGATATGCAATAGTGTAGATGAACACATTCAACCATCGATTATTTCTCACAAAGTGGCACATGAACTGTGGCTGGATCTCAAAACTCGCTACGGTGGGTCGAACGGCCCTAGGGTTCATCAGCTCAAGTCGGAACTCCAATCTCTCCGACAAAAAGGTCAAACTGTAGTGATATACTACAACCAATTTGTGACACTTTGGAACAAATTGTACGGGTCAATCGACCCTACGTGTGGCTGCCGTTGTGATGCGGCTATCCGTATTCGAGCACGAGAAGAAGAAGAGAAGACCCATCATTTTTTGCTCGGCCTTGACGACGAGCAATTTGGTCACATCCGGTCTCAAATCATCGCTACCGAACCCGTGCCTGATATTCACCGGGCCTATGCGTTGGTCGTTCAAGAAGAACGCCATAAAAATATTGTTCGGGGTAGAGATGATCGGACCGATGCCGTAGCGTTTGCCATGCAGCGCCCTAGTGCCCCATTGGTCCGTGGAGATCCACCTACGTACTCTTGCACTCATTGCGGGAAAGACGGGCACTCGAAGGAGAGATGCTACCAGTTGCACGGATATCCCCCCGCGAAAGGCCGCGGTCGTGGAGGTGCGTCCGGCCGTGGCAGTGGGTCGGGCAGAGGGCTCGGCCGTGGGGCTGCTGGCGTTGGTTCGTCAACTGGACGAGTAGCTGGTCCGGGGACAGGGGGAGCACATGCCGCAGGAGGGGCACCTGTCCAGATTAGCCCTCTGGGTCTCACCGCCGACCAGGTCTCTCGTCTATTATCCATGCTCGACACGTCTTCTTCCGACAAGGGTTCCGGCTCGGGGGGTGAGACATCCAACCGTGAGTGGCTCCTGGATAGCGGCGCCTCACATCATATGACCGGTAACATCTTATTTTTGTCTAATATAGTGCCAATCACGCCGTGTGTAATTACTTTGCCCAATGGTTCTTATACTACCGCTACACGCCGTGGGCAAGTGCGTCTCTCCCCGGAGGTTCTTCTGCGGGATGTGTTGCTCGTCCCGAAGCTAAAATGCAACCTTATTTCTATTGGATGTCTTGTTCGGGACAATACTTGCATGGTTATTTTTAACAAACATTGTTGTGTCATACAGGATTGTGCCACGAAGATGGAGATTGGACGGGGTAGTGCTCACAACGGAGTGTTTCTTTTTCGCGCGTCTAGTCCGGCGTTTGCTAGTCAAGGGGATCCTATTCTTCTCCACAAGCGTTTGGGCCATCCTTCACCCCAAGTTTTGTCTTCTATTATCTCTGTTCCCAGTAGTTCCAAACTCAAATTATTACAATCATGTGAAATTTGTTTTCAGTCTAAACAAACTCGTAGTAGTTTTCCTCTCAGTTTGAATAAAGCTACTAGTGTTTTTGATTTAATTCACTGTGATTTGTGGGGACCCTACACCCCGTGTTTGGCTACTGGTGCACATTACTTTCTTACTATTGTGGATGATCATTCCCGTGCTGTTTGGGCTTATTTGATTAAAGAAAAATCTGAGGTAACAAGTTGTCTAAAACAATTTTTCAGCATGATCAACACCCAATTTCATAAAATCATTAAGGTTGTTCGTTCTGATAATGGCACTGAGTTCGTTAATCAACCCCTTCGTGCCTTTTATTTATCCATGGGTGTTCTTGTTCAAACCTCTTGTGTTGACACGCCTCAACAAAATGGGCGTGTTGAACGTAAACACCATCATATTCTCAACGTTGCCCGTGCTCTCATGTTCCAAGCCAGTCTACCAATTGAATTCTGGGGGGAGTGTGTCCGTACTGCTGTCTACCTCATAAATCGTGCTCCTAGCCCGGTCCTTGGTGGTAAATCTCCTTTTGAGGTTCTCAATAAGAAAGCACCCGATCTTGGTCACTTACGTATCTTTGGGTGTTTATGTTTTGTTCGTCTACCCACTTCGAACAAATTTTTCCCACATAGCGTCAAATGCATGTTTGTCGGGTACCCTACTGGTACCAAAGGCTGGCGCGTCTATGACCTTGACACAAGCCGTTTCTTTCATACTCGGGACATTTCCTTTGACGAAACACAATTTCCCTTTGCGGTGCTACCCACCACCGATCACACCACAACCGAAAACCACCCTCTCTACGCCGATTTTCCTTCGGCCCCCATCCTTGTCTCTGCCCAGCCAGCCGCCACAATTGTGCCTTCTGCCCAACCCGAGAGCAATCCCACCAGCGCCCAAAATCCCGCCACCACCATCGATACAGCCGCCGTGCCCGTTCCTCGTCCTCAACGGCAGCGTCGTTAGCCTTCTCACCTTAGTGACTATATCGTTAATTCCGTTCAATCCAATGCACCGTTGTGCGCCTCCCCAGCTCGGTCTTCGTCTTCAGGTACACATTATCCTATCGCCAACTTTGTTTGTTATTCTAATCTCAATGACAGGTACCGTGGATTTTTGGGAGCCATCAGTCCTCATTTTGTACCCTGGAATTATGCCGAGGCCGCCCCCCACTCCAATTGGTGTGAGGCTATGAACAAGGAACTTCAGGCATTGGAGAATAATCACACTTGGGATCTCACGGATTTACCTCCTAACCGCACGGCTTTGGGTTGTCAATGGGTTTTTAAAACCAAATTCAATTCCGATGGTACAAAGGAGCGTGACAAAGCTCGTTTGGTTGTTCTTGGGAATCATCAGACACTGGGCATAGATTACACAGATACCTTTGCGCCTGTTGCCAAGATGGGTTCTGTTCGGGTTTTACTAGCCGTCGCCGCCGCGAAGGGGTGGCAGGTCCACCAGCTCGACGTCAACAATGCTTTTCTTCATGTCGATCTGATAGAGGAAGTTTATATGCGCTTACCTCCCGGATATGCGCAGAACTACCCTGGCAAGGTGTGCCGTCTACGCAAGTCTTTATATGGTCTTCGTCAGTCACCCCGGAACTGGTTCGCCAAACTGACATGTGCTCTCCGTTGCTATGGTTTCCGTCAGGCTCATGCAGATCATACTTTATTTATTCATCGTCGTGGCCCTGATATTCTGGTTGTTCTGGTTTATGTTGATGACATTTTGGTTGCAGGTAACAATGTCCATCTCTGTGCATCTTTTAAGGCATATTTACATCGGTGTTTTCAATTGAAAGATTTGGGCCCTTTATCTTACTTCTTGGGTATCGAGTGTGCACGCTCTACAGAAGGGATAGTTCTATGTCAGCGCAAATATGCCTTGGATATTCTACACGAAGCCGGTATGGTCGGATGTAAACCCGCGGACACCCCCATCGTCTCTAATCACGGGCTTGCTCGGTCCACTAGTGCGGCACTCCGTGACCCGGCCCAGTATCGGCGTCTTATTGGTCGCCTCATTTATCTCACTATTACCCGGCCGGATATCTCTTACTCAGTCCACGTACTCTCTCAGTTCATGCATAATCCCCGCTTGGACCATATGGATGCAGCACGGCGAGTCCTTCGTTATCTGAAGGGACATCCGGGCCAGGGGATACTTCTTCGTAGTGACAGTTCGCTACAATTGACCACTTATTGTGATTCAGACTGGGCCTCATGTCCTCTCACTTGAAGGTCCGTTAGTGGTTATTTCATTCTTCTTGGGGGGTCACCCGTTTCGTGGAAGACAAAGAAACAGACCACCGTTTCACGCTCATCTGCCGAGGCCGAATATCGCTCCATGGCTAATGCATGTTCAGAGGTACGCTGGATTCGGGGTATCCTCGGTGCTCTCGGCGTGACACCACCTACTACCCCCAGATTGTATTGTGATAATAAGTCGGCCCTCTACATCGCCGCCAATCCGGTCTTCCATGAGCATATGAAGCATATTGATATTGATTGCCACATTGTCCGTGAATGTCTTCAGCGTCGTGAGATCACTACCGCCTATGTTCCTACCCGCTTACAACTGGCGGATTTGTTTACAAAAGCCTTGAATCGTCCCTTATTCTCCTTTCTATTATCCAAGTTGGGCATTCGAGATTTTCATGCGCCAACTTGAGGGGGAGTATTAGCTGTACATATTTGATTATTTATTTGTATGTATTATCTTGTACGGGCCTGGCCCAGTTGTTATAGTAGTAGTCCATGTACTCTGTATATATACTCGGTGTAACCATTGAATTAATCACAATAGTTTTCACACAATTTCTTCAAATAATCCAACACGTCAAGATTTTTTTTTTAAAAAAGTAGATATAATTGTAATTTCTGTTTGATGACACATTACATGCTCAAACATGAAATGCAAAACTAATATAGGTTTCAATCGAGAGTACATTGCGGAGACTAAAAAATTAATATTACACTAATACGGACTATATATTTTTCGAAAATTGGCAGGCTTGCTGGCTCTAAGAGGCCATTCTTAAGTCTTATATTGCTCATAAAAAAATCGGGCTTGACCTGATCCTCATGAGTAATGCTAGAGTCACAAACAAACAGTTCCAAAATTCACAAACTTGTCTTTTTAACACATTCTTAGAAATAAGATGCCTTCAAATAATAAAATATATTTTAATTTAAAATCCCCAAAAAGCAAGTTTGCGAACTATATGTTTGTGACTCTAGCATTTTCCGATCCTCATTCCCATATTTGTCCTAGGAATTTGAGAACGGACTGAACGGACTAGCAGAGTTGACCCTTATTTACAGAGTTCTTACCTATTTCTAAAATTAAATTATCAATTTTATAATTTTTTATTTAATATTTAATATCATTTGTATTTAATTTATGATCAAATTTATCAAATTTGAACAAAAAAAAGTCAAAAATAAACAAATTCCAAAAAGACATATTCTATTGACTTGTGTTGTTTCGTTTGGTTAGTATTTACCCCAAGCGAAGGACCTTTTAAGGGGCCTCCATGCATAATCATTGTACGTAGATGAATGATGAAGAAAAAATTGAATGTATCTAATGGATAGAAGTCACAGAACTAGTAGTCCTTAAAATAAACTTTGCAATGATTTAAAATATATTTCAATTCACACTTCGTATTAAATTGAATATGGAAATATGTGGTTCTTGAGTGTTTCATCCATTTGAAAAAATTTCAAACTCTCCAAGAATGACAACTCGCGTTTCGTCCCCCCTTGTTCTTCGGGTTAGGGCTCCATTTCCCTTGTTCTTCGAGCCATTTCTAGCCGTACTTCATATGAACAGCAATGCGTGTCAAAGGAGTAAGATCCGAGTTCAATTAATGACAATTGTATTGGGAGGTAACTATGCTAAGTATAAGACTTCTGCAAATACAAGGCATAGATTTCACGCTTTATCACCAATATAATCTGCGATCAAAGTGTTATTTATCTCATCTCAATGACCGTCCGGCCGAGTTTGATAGGACTTTCGAGGACGGGCTCATCCTTTACCAGTGCTACGTGAATAATCATTTGGATATCAAATCTAAATGGTTGTTAGAGTAGTTCCACTATACGTAAACCTAAATTCAATTTCTGACAACAATGATAAAAGAAAATAAGTAACCATATTTAAAGTTTAGGATATGACATGAGAATGGGGGCAAATTGGGAATCTAATTAAGTTTAGGATATGACATGCATGACTTTCGTTTACACATTGGTACATGCGCGCGTGTTAGAGAGAGATAAAACAAGAAAACAAAAAATTAAAAAAAAAAATCAACGGCGGCACATCCTATGTGAATTCATTGGCAGTGATGACTGATGACTTAAAATGAGCAAAAAAAGGAGACGTTAAAATTGACCAAACTAAATAATGATGTGTATAGTATATGCTACAGTAGTAGGCTCGCTTTTATGTAAATAAAAAATCTATCTTTTTTTTACTCTCATATCATCTCATGCATTGTAAAATTATCTTCATACTTTAAAATTTGTGATCTTTTTTTACCCGAAAAAATATTTTAAAATTTTGACTATTAAATTTACATGTTAAAGTTACCTCAATTATATTAAATTTATATAAGAACTAAATACTTCCTTCGTCCCAGAGTATTTGTCTACTTTTATTTTTACACACCATCCAATACACTTCTTTAATCCATTTTATCTTGTAATTTGTATATTAAAAAATTATAGAAATTATATATTAACAATCTATATGTTAAGACAAATCAAACAAGATCACACGTGACTATATTTTGGCTTACACATTGAGAGAATTTGATGAGTCAAAGTGTTTAGATGAACAGTTCCAAAAGTCAAAAGTGGACGAATATAGCGGGACGGAGGTTGTATATATCTTTTCAATTTGGGGTCAAAGTGATTAAAAAATTCAAACTAGAACTAGAGGAACTATACAAATTAATCACGACCTGCTAAAAAGGAGATTTTATTACTTTATTCTTTTCACACATCCGCCATCCCCACTACATGTTGAAATTAATCTATATTGTTCTTTTATTATATTCCATTTTTAAATTCAGATTATATTAATGTTTTTAAAAGTTTTTTTCTTTTTGAAAAAAATTAAAAGTAAGTTAAAAGCTGTAAATCAATATAGCACGCGTATACTTTTTTTTTCCTATACTGCTTTCAAATATTCGAATCGAGTTCTGTTTTTTTATTTAAAAACGTTAAACAAAAACTCCATGTTGAATATAAAAAGCATCCCGAAGCCCTCTCAATCACAAGCTTAACTTGAGCTTTTAGTTTAATTAGTTTTTGTCTTCCTGACATATTATTAAAAAAAAGTTGTTAAGCCTCACCTTATTTATTCCTAAATTAATGTAACAGACTGAACAGAGTATTTCCAATATTGATATCCATAGTTTTTTCTTTACTCTAACATGCTTATAAAAGATATAGAATTAAAAACTATTTAAAAATAGAAGAAATAACAACACATAGGGGTGATAACGTCCAAAAAAATTAACAATATTAGTGTCCTGGAATCGAATAAAGAAATCTCATAATAATCACAATAAGAGACACGTTAGCGAATAAGATGCGTAATGAGGCAAACAAAACTCCATTTTTAAATGTGGCTCTAGTCGTATTAAAATTAAAGAATTTGAAAAAATGAGGAAACATACTATCAAAATCATGAGTTAACATTGTGTAGTCCATTATTAGGACAACTAAGACAGTGGGACCCGTAACATTTTGAGAAAACATATGAATATAGTAAGTACTCCCTATTCCTTACTTTGTTCCTGAAATATTGTCACAGTTTGACATTTTAGTTAAATTGTGGCACCTTTTGACCGTAAATTATGGAAGAAGTATATTTAATTATAATGTAATATTAGTACATTTGGGTTTATTTTAAACTTTAGTTTTAATATATGAAATTTTTATAATATTTAATTATTTTAAAATATATTTAATTCGTGATCAAATTGTGTCAGAATTTGAACAAAAAATTTAAATTGTGTCAATCTTTTAGGGTGGGAGAGAGTATTATTCTTCTCCCATCTCCAAATAAACATATACTTGCAATAATGTACAAAATTTCACAAATTTTAAAATGATTTTATTTACAAATTTGTATAAAAAGTACAAATTAAATATATTAAATCTATATAAAAAATTCGACAAAACAAAATGTGATAAAAATAATTTTCTTTATCAAATGATTAACGAAAACATACAATCCAAACTATAATAATAACAAAAATGCTAGGGGTACACCAATTTTTGTACCCCATTTGTACCCCCCTCCATCTCCACCACACAAAAGCAAGAAAAGAAAAAAAAATTAAAATTATAAAAGGAAATGTATGGCTATGATTGTTGGTGTACAAATGGGGTACACCAAATGGTGTACCCCTAGCATTACCCTAATAATAACTAGGACATTTCTTTAAAGTAAGTAAATGTTGCTGATGATGGGCTTCAATGCTTGCAAGGGATTGGAATATTGGATTGAAATACTAGTTAATCGGACCGGCTCAGTCGGGGCCAAGTAGTTTCCACAAATGGTTCTAGGGCCTGTTTGAGAACAGCGTTAGAGATTGGCGTTAGCGTTTTGAAAAAAGTTATCTGCGAACAACGTTTAGCGTTAGCGTTTTTAAAGTAATCTATACCGTTAAAATTATGTCTAAAACGTTAACGCTAATCTCTAACATTATTCCCAAACATGCCCCTATTTAATTGCGTTTTGCATGTCCCATTAAAGAGAGTAAATTTTGAGGAGGTATTTTGGGTCATGGGAATAGAAATCCCTTTCTCATCCCTATTCAAAAAGGTTAAAAAAAATGCATGGTTAGTTGGCGGATTGAATGGAACACTCTTTGTCAAGGTATTCATATCCCATGATTTTGAGGAACACAGAATTCCAAGCACTCTAAGACTTGGGCATGTTTTGATCTGGTTGGTTTTGATCTGATTGGAATAAGTTTTGATTTGATCTGATTTAGTCTAATCCAATCTGAATGTAATTATTTAAATCTATTTCTGATCTGATAGGGTCTAATCTGATCTGATTTGATATTAATAAGAATAAATAATAATTAAAAAAATAAGTTGAGGGTGAGCATGGCCTTATTAGTACATTAGCACCGACTTCTTCTTCCATTTCATATTGATTGTCTTTTGACACTTAGTTGATTTATTGAAAAATGAATAAGTGTGGACATAACATATGTTTACATTAATTATTTTCTTAATGTATCAAGATAGTCATAATAGACCGTTAATAAGAATTGGAGGAGATATTTCTTTGCATGATAGGAGAAATTAATTTATGAATCAAGAATCAAGATACCTCAATTTTAACCCTAATTTATTTTACTCCGTAATAGATATTCCCAAACACAATATGTTTCGTGTCTCTAAACTTCTATAAGAAGGGTGTTGTTAAAATTATGATATCCCTTAGGATCGGAGTATATAATAACTCATAACTATATTTCTCATCCAATCGTCTCCTGCCAAAAATCTTAAGGGTTCGTTTGGTACACAGAATTGACAAAATTGGAATTGAAAAAATTGAAATTATGTGTAATTGATCTAGATGGAATTGAATTCTCAATTTTCAATTCATTTTTAGCACTACGGTTTCCATCCCCACATATTTTTGTGTTACTAAACATCTGAATTGGAATCATTGTCCCAAATTCCAATTGCATAATTTGAATTTCGTGTACCAAACGGAGCCCAAGTACTTTTTCATCATATATTCAAGCATTATTTATCTTTATTTTTTTTTTACTTAGCAACATTAGCAAAAATAAGGGTGAATATAGCCCCACCCTTATAATAATAACATTCATGGCAATACTCGACTAATTAGCCATGCATTGATAATACCACATTTATGTTAATACACATTATTACTAGTCTAAGGGCCTGTTCTTTAGGACTGGAAAAAAAGAGCTGGAAACTGAAAGGAACTGGAAGAAACTGGAAGAAACTGGAAGAAACTGGAAGAACTGGAAGAAACTGGAAGAAACTGGAAGGAACTGGAAGAAACTGGAAGAAACTGGAATAAACTGGAAGAAACTGGAAGAAAATGAAAAAATTGAAAATAATTAAAAAAATTTAAAAGAAATTGAAAAAACTAGAATAAATTGTAAAACCTAAAAAAAGTTCTTAAAAAATTTTTGTGTGTGGTTTTAAATTATTCTCATTCTGATTCTTGTTGATATAAATTATTATTATTATTATTATTATTATTATTGTTGTTGTTGTTGTTGTTGTTGTTGTTGTTGCTGTAGTTGTTGTTGTTGTTGCTGTTGTTGGTGGTGGTGATGGTAGTGGTGGTGTTATCATGTTATCCAAATGATTGTCTTTAAAATAAAAAAAATATTACGAATAATATTTTTCATACATAAAAAGATAGTTTAAAAAATTAATTAGAATATAAAATTAGCATAAATATCAAAATGTTAAATAGTTAAGAGTTATTATGGCTATGCTGTATTTATTATAAAATAATATATTTGTAATTATATTTTATACATTACAAGATTTTGTTTTAAATATCTGGCATGTCACATAATGTAATCAAACTTATTTTTTCTTTAAGGATTGACAATTTATTTCCATTGTAACCCTACTTTTTGAATAAAAACATAGAACTGGTATTATTCATATTAAAAAGTTGAAGAAAAAAAATAATGAATGTGAATCATAAAAATAGTGAGATGAAAAAATGAAATAATTTATAAACTATAGTTATGAACATAAAAATTATAAATAAAAAAAATTGTAATAATAATAATAATTATAATAATAATATATTTTTTTAGAGTGATTTGTCAGAAGGTAGAAAGAATTTGAAGAAAATAAATATAGTTGGAAGAAATTAGAAGAAACTGGAAAAAACTGGAAGAAACTGGAAGGAATTGGAAGGAACTGGAAGAAACTAGAAAGAACTGGAAGAAACTGGAAGGAACTGGAAAAAACTGGAAGAATTGGAAGAAACTGGAAGAAACTGGAAGAAACTGGAAAGAACTGGAAGTTAAGAGTTCAAGTCCTAAAGAACATGCTCTAAATGGACTTATTTCCACGCCACCTTGTAAGCCCCCAACGCCTCTATACAAATGGTCACCACCACATACGTAGTAACGCACCAAAGAAAACCCTTTAAAATAAAGCTTTAATTATAAAGTCATCTCGACCTAACCAGTAGATACTCCAGCAACAGAATGTGTAACGTTGGGGTTTCCAGCAGTAGTTTGTGTAACCGTGAGTTCTTCAGAAGCAAGTTGTGTAACAGTGGACTTTCCATCATAATTGAATCATTATAAGTATCTTGCGTGATGCATTAAAAATGAGCGAATTGATAAATATGTTATAAATGTCTTTATTCAATGGAAGGCCTTTTTGTATTATTATTGTATCCATCAATTATTTTCCATGTTCTTTTTTTTTTAAAAAAAAATTATTGAAAATAATGGATAATGCTTACGCCCACAAATCACAATACCGTCAATAGGTATCAAACTTTCAATCGGATCACACTACTTTGTGAGTTGCAATGACATTAACATAAACTTATAATAGTGATGGAGAAGCATGAGTGGGAATGACAATAATGCATGCCTCAATGGCGTTGGATTCCATGCATCTTAATCTTTCTATGTGGTCCACCCTATCAAATCTTACCTAACCAAAACAATATAATGTCCTCACATCACATGTGGCGTGGCGTGACACAGTTAGTTGATATATATATATATAGTGCTGGGTTCAGAGGACAAAAATTGTTAGATGCACCTTCGGTAAACAAAGACAAGAACAGTACATGATATTAAAGATAGTTCACAATAAATATCGTGTGTACGTCTAGATTCAATAGTACGTGTATCTGCTTTCTGTTTATAGTTTATTGTTGTAATTATCTTAGTTAGCAGTAATTGGTTAAAACTTTGATTAAACTCTGTATCTTTTTAAGTTACTTCCTTATTAAACTCTGTATCTTTTTAACCTCCTATTTCTAATTTTAACACGGCCCGTGACACCTGGCTGAATCTTCATTCAAGTTTTGCGAGTGAATTTTTGTTGAGGGCATGCATAATAATCAATGATTTTAAACTCGGACTGTAGGTCAACTCGGTGGGGAGGACGATTCCCGGGTCAACCCATTTTTTCTGAGTTTTTCCGAATTTCGAGAGATACGACCGGACCAGTTGTGTGTTCGGATTACAGGTCGACCAGTCGAACCGCCCAGTCCGGTTCGAGTTTAATAACACTAGTAATAATACTTCTTTTTTTGAGATTGGAGACACTTTCTTAACAAGTTACCGAAGTGGAGCGTTTGCTAATGTAAGTGGTCCTAGATTTAATCTCATTTGCCGGGGTTTGGTTCGAGTGGGGCCTGGCATGCGTAACCGCCGGAAGCCCCGACTTGGGCACTTGTATATCCTCCATGTTGTCGGCCGGAAATTGATGGCCCAACCCAAATTTAAATGCTCGTTTGTTTTTTTTTATTTATAGTGTTTTGTTTCCAATAATAAAAATAATAATAGTGGTGTATAATGGAGCATCGCATGCAGAAATCACATGGAGTGATGGTGGGTTATTATCCGTCTCACATTGTTTTATTAACTTTTCGAACTGGGGTGCAATTGAAGAGGTGGAGAAGGTGCGTTCGAGTCGGGGTGAAGAGGAGGGATTTATCAGAGATTAAAGGGATAGAGATCGTCATTTTTACGCACGGAATACCGGAATACTCCCGAATCATCCACTGACATTGATTACTAATGTCACCAGAAACGGGCCAATTGCTTTTTAATATGCTCTTAAATTAAAATTTGTGTCATTTTTATATCAAAGTTCATTTTGAGATGGAAAGAGTTGGATATAATATCATCGATCTCTTTCTCATTCTTTTTTTTGACACGTACATATGCGGTGATTTATGGTATAATCTCAATCCGAGGAAGGTATTACCTTTCACCGGTAATACCCCCACCCCGGCCCGACAAGATGGTAAGGAAGGTAAGTTATGGTATAATTTCAATCTGATCCTTGGAGAGGTCGCCCCGTACCTGATGCACACAAGGAGCTGTTACAAATAATAGAATTTCCACACTGTCGCTACCGAGATTCGGATTCGACTATAAGATCAATGGTAAGGTACTGGGTTTAAATTAAGTATTTATTCGAAAGGGAGAATGTGAAGCTAGTCGTGAAGATGCTGAGAAACTTATAGAGGTTGCTTGTAATTATGTGTATAATAATAGTGGGTTTTGTGACTTTGTCATCTTCATTTGTGAGTGATATGTGAATACCATTCCATTTATAGTGTCATTTCAACTAACTTTCATCCCTCTTTCCTCATTCAAATCATTTTCTCATTCTTCAGAAAATAATTATTACTATTTTATTTTTATTTTATTTAATACTCCGTAATAATAATAATAATATTATTATTAGGAAATATGGGGGTAAGGCATTGATTATTGAGATGAATAGTGTCATTAATTCTGTTCATGATTCTAATACTATGGTTTTATATTTTAACTAGTACCACACCCGTGCGTTGCACGGGTCATATTTACGTTATTAGATTAAGACCATTTTTGAAAGATACAAATTAATATCTAAAAGAATATATAGATTTTATTATTTTCAGGTACAAAGTAATTAAAAATTATTGAATTACAATATTTAGCCTATACACTCCTTCAGGATAATCTCTGTCATAGTTTTTGAACTTAAACCTGGAACCAAGATAACATCAATCGTTGGTATTCTCAATATCAACCACATCACCAATTATCTAATAATATCCTTTCTGCAATTAAATCTTAAATTTATGTGTATAGTTTTAAAAATATAAATAAGTGAAATCAAAATTTTGGCCACAAATTTTGTTCATATTTAATGGTTTTTTACCATTTTTCTTGCCGAACTAATAATAAAATGGAGAGCTTTATATACCACATAAAAACAAAGGAATATTATTTAAAAACATAAAAAAATTAGAGAGGCTAATTACGAAAGTGATTAAAAATGACCGTATTTATAGTATGAAAATTTTTGTTCCTTTTTTCTATTCAATGGCGTCAATTTTTTTATAATTTATAATTTTCGGAATAATAATTTATTATTATTATTATTATTATTATTATTATTATTATTATTATTACCATATAAACATGTGCAAGTAACCGTTGTTAATTGACCAAATAGTAGACAAATTACCATTTCTAAATTCAAGACTTACCATATATGATCTCACACTTATATATATATTTTATATTTTTCCAACCAAAATAAGGTATAATTATCTTCTACGTTTGTCATTATTATTACACTTATTATCATGTTTATTATTATTTTTATTATTCTTATTATTATTACATTTATTATTATTACGATATACACATGTATTTTTGTATTCTTTCAACAAAAATAAGATATAATAAATTTAGCTTATTAATAAAAACTAAAATTTTATATTAAAGAAATGAAAACTTTTTATTAAACAATACTTTGACTTCTTTTGGGAAATGTATCAATAAGCCTTGTCAGCCCTTTCATAATAATAAGTATAATTTTGGGACACACTATAATTAATGACGTCTCTTTTTTTATTATTTATAATTTTATCAGAACAAACCTAGTCCTTTAACAAATGAAATCTTTTTATTAATGGCGTCTATTTTGCTGTATACCATAATTAATGGCACCATACACATTTATTATTGTTATTATTGTATGGTACATCAAACACACTCATCTTTCTGTAATTGTTTATATTCTTAACTTTTTTATTTTACTATTTTTATTACTATTTTGACGAAAAGGTAATAATTTTTTTATCCAAAAATAATATATTTCCATAAAAGGTAATAATGTAACGTAAATATGTAAACGGTTTCCGAAAAGGAAACAAAATATAAAATAATTTATTTATATAAACTTCTGTTTAGTACCAAAATTTTACAAAATTGGAAGTGATATAATAAAAAAAATTATTACCATTTTTATTTTATTTTTTTATTACTGTTTCAATGAAAACGTAATAATAATGTATGGTACATAAAATGCATTCATCTTTGTTTAATTATTTATATTCTTACCATTTTTATTTTAGTATTTTTATTAGTATTTCGATGAAAAGGCTAGGTAATAATGCATTTCTTCCAAAAAATAAGATATTTCCATAAAAAGTACTCCCTCCTACCTGAAATGATCTTTCCATTTGATTTTTATTGGTCAAAGTTTGTAAACTTTGACCTTGATGTATGGAAAAAATATATTGTATTTCGATATAAATATAATATCAATAGTTTCCTTATGAAACGTAGTTTTGAAATATTAAATTTACATAAAATATATCTATGTATAAATGGAGATATTAATGGTCAAAATATAAATTGGAGTCCGTGAAAAGTCAAATGAAAAAATCATTTCCGAACGGATGGAATAATAATATAAGTAATTATATCAACGGCTGGGTTCTAAAGCTACTCGAAAAGAGTGGCTACGGAAGTCACTCACCCAATTGGGACACCTACGATGCTCCGTTTGCAAAATTGATAGTTCCTACCCCCTCTAGCCCCCCTGGTAAACCCCCACTCGTTCCCGACCCCAACTCATCTCCCTAACCACGTCAATTGCGGGGTGCAAATTTAGTTGTCTTTGGAGTCAAAAAAATTAACATCAAAGGTAAAAAATTAACATTATTTATATTTATTTTAATAATGTATATTTTAGTTTATAACCAAAATTTTCATAAAAAGTAATAAAAATTTATTTCCTCTTTAAAAGGTAATAATGTGCCGTAAGTGAAATTAATTATCTCTATAAAAGGTAATATATTACCATAAGATTGAAAGCTAAGCATAAAATTTTTAAAAGCTATTAAACCCTTTCCATAATTCAATTGACATTATATAAAAGATATATTGGGCAATAGTGTACAAAAAGTTTCATAAAAATAAACTTTATTTCAAAACTATTTCCATTCTTACCTTTTTTAGCTTAGTATTTTTATTGCTATTTCAATGTAATACATGCCTAACAAAAATAATATATTTATATAAAAATATTCAACCATTTAATAATTATAAATTATTAAACACGTGAGCGTTCTATTTCAATATTATTAAACACGGAAACGTTCTATTTTAATTCTTACCATTTTTAACTTAGTGTTTTTATTACTATTTTCAACGTAATAATAATAACCCTCATGGAGACGTTTATAAATTATTAAGGACAACTATATATATAAACATTAATAGTATTAAAATTTCTATAATATAATATGTTATAAGCACAATTATTATTATTATTTAAAAATGTTTATTAATTATTAACTGAATTATATATGAAAACATTGATATATTATTAAAAATTCCATAATATAATACGTCATATGCAAAATTATTATTAATCATTACACATGTAAACATTATTAATTATTTAGCACAGTTATACATGGAAATGTTCCAAAGATGAATAATGGCCGTGGATCAAGATTCTGACGCTAATCGACGGTTCACAACGTACGCGCGTTTAGGTGGGAAAAATTTCCCCTGCTTTTAAGAATAGTATTGATATCATACATATTTGGATTTTGTTAGAAAATACTAATTTAATGAGATGTTTGTTCAGAGCTGTGATGCTGTATGATTTTGAAGAGAAATGCACATGATAAAAGACAATTTATAATATTCATAAAATTATGAGAAACGCTGTCAATATGCGACGGACTCCTTTCGTCGCAATAGATAAATGACACGTGCTTGTAACGTACAAACACGTAGTTAAAGTTACGCCTTCATTCTCGAAATATTATTTTTATATTATCGAAAAAAAGTATTTTACATTTACACTTGTTCCAATATATTTTTGTTCGCGTAGATTCAAAACGCGAAATTCCTTTTTTTAGGAAAGGAAAATCTGTTTTGTTTTTGTTTTTTTGTGTTGGAGGGAATAATTCTCTCTTCCATAAAACTTTTTGAAGTTCTATACCGAGTTGTGACTACGGAGTTGTCTTTGAGCTCTAAGCCCAACCCAAATCTCAAACATTAATAACATAAATTCTCCGCCCAATTATTATGCCTTTGGGCATAAATACAATAAAAGCCCAAACTCAAAAACTATACAACATTATGAGGCCCTTTCAAGTTATAGAAAAGAGATGTCTAAAAGTTTTTTTTGTGATCCATGTAACTTTTCTCTCATTTGGACAAGTTTTTGTGGTCCCCCAACATTTTTTTTATATGCCAAGTTAAAAAATGAAATTTTTTTACGAAACAAATAAACTATGAGAATAAAAAGCAGTTATTGAAGAATAGAGTGAATGGTTATCATAAGGTATAAGACTTTAAAAACTTAAAATAATTTTCTTTGCAAAGTTAAAAGTTGATTTTTGTATGAGACAAAGAGACTATAAAAATGTAAAAAGTTATTTAAAAATAAAGAAATAATTGTGACAAGCCCATAGAATTCATCAAAGCTTTTATATAAAACTTTAAAGAATGAAAATTGTTGTGCAACTTTATAAGAGAAAAAGGGAGAAAAAAAAAAAGATAATTGGGAAAACCTTGGGATAACATGAGTTCATCAAAGAGTATAGTTTTTGCTTTGACCTTCATAAGCCCTTAATTGACCATTGATCATCTTTCCATAAACCCGGACCGGGTTTGATTACTACAACTCGGCGAGCAATTTGGTATAGACGGCATCGTCTCTTCAGACAGCGCTCTCAGTCTGTTGAGCTCCGGCAACACCTCCGTCCCGAGATCCGGCCGGTCTTTCCGCCTGAGCTCCGCACATCTGAGAGCCAACTTGGCGAACCTCAGCGCCTCCTCCACCGGCCAGTTCGGCACCGCCGGATCGAGCATCTCCGCAAACGTCCCCTTCTCGATTGCCCTTTCCACGTTATGAGTCAACCCCATCGGAGGCTTCGCCGTGATTATCTGGAGCAGCATTATTCCCAGCGAGTAGACGTCGGATTTTATCCCCAGCATCCCCGTCTGCTGGTACTCCGGATCTATGTAGCAGAAGGTTCCGGCCGCCGACGTCATCCGGTATTGCGTCACCGTGTCGGCCACGTTCGGAGGCACCAGCCTGGCTAACCCGACGTCGCTGATTTTGCTCACGTAGTTCCGGTCGAGCAAAATGTTCGCCGGTTTCAGGTCGCGGTGGACCAGCGGCTCCGGCTTGGTCTGGTGGAGGAACAGAAGTCCGGTGCCGATCTCCGCGGCGATCCGGAACCTGACTTGCCAAGGAAGAACGGGAGTGTTACCGCGCGTGAAGAGACGGTCCTCTAAGCTCCCGTTCGCCATGTATTCGTACACCAAACAGCCGTACTCCGGGCAAGCTCCGAGCAGGAGAACCATGTTCGGGTGTCGGATACAGCTCAGAACTTCAACCTCTTGTTGGAATTGCGACCTCCCCTGGGCGGCGTCCGGCCGGAGGACCTTAATCGCGACTTCCGTGTGGTCAATTAGGGCTCGGTACACAGGGCCGTAACCGCCTTCCCCGATTTTCCGCGAGGCGGAGAAATTTTCTGTTGCGGATTCGATGACCTCAATTGGATACTTGCGGTAACGGCATTCGTTGTTGGTGATCTTGTCTAGAACCTTCTTCTTCTCTTCGGCTTCCCGGAGAGCTTTCATCTCCGCGTTTATCCTCTTCTGCGCCTCCAACTCGGCCAGCCTCTGAGCCGCCTCAGCCGCTTCCAGCGCCGCCCTGCATTTGGCTTTCTCCTTCTCGGCTATGGCCAAGGCCGTTTCCTCAGACAATCGAGCCTCTTCTAGCCTCTGCTGCTCCTCCATCTTCCAGCGATGAAGTTCTAGAGCCTTCTGTTTTGCAGAAAGTGCTTCCTTACACGCAGTGCTGTACATGTCCATTGTCTGCTTCAGCTCCTGCTTCAGTCTCCTCATTTCAGCCTCCACATCGTCCTAAACAACATTTTTTCAAGGAATTTCTTCACCAAGAATTCAATCAATCAATCATTCATTAATTCATTCATAAATTGCTCAAAATTACCATGCTTTGGGATGATGAAGACCAAGAACCTCCACTCTCTTGGGAGAGAGATGACAAAATGGTAGAAGGATTATTGTTCATGTCAGAGAGCCTAGACCCAGAGAATGCTGACCCAAAACTCAACCTGTTGTCGGAGTCAGAGCCATTGGAGAGGCGTTGGAGATAACTGCCAGGTTCTGGGCTGTCCATGAACATTGGGAACGCGCGCTCTGTGCTTTGCCTTCCAGAGCTGACGAATGATATGTCTATAGAGTCCGGGACTGAAAGCTCTCCATATGATCTGTTTGAATACCCTCCTCTTGAAAATGGTGATCTGTGTAAATTTTGGTCATGGATTCATGGTAAGATGAACTATTCAAACCTCATGCCTTCAACTGTCAATATAAGTTTAGTATTTACTACGGAGTATAAAAAAAGAAGCTCACTTGATGAAATCATTATCTTCTGTGCTTCTATGTGAAAACGGTGATGACCTATCTGATGCATTCCCTACAAATGGTGATGAACTTCATGAGAATTTTTGTACATTTTTTTTGGAATCTTTGTAATTGACAGACAGGTTAGCACGTACCTAGGCTTTCGTTACTGTGCATGAGGCGCGGGTCAGAAAAGCCAGAACTTGTAGTGCTGCGAGCCGATACTGTCGGGGTAGAGATTGTAGCAGCCCTTGAGGAAGAAACTTTACCCTTTGCTACAACATAGACGTTGCAGAACTCGGGTGCGTTTTTGCTCACACTACTTGGTATGTCTGGTGTCTTGAATCTTCTTTGCACAATTTTGTTATGAAATTTTGTTACAAATGACAGTTTTTTTAAATCAAATTAAATGTACTCGGTATACTCTAATTAGAAAACAGAAGGAGAAAGATTGGCATGCCTGACAAAGCTGTTCTTTGATGGGGCACCAAGAACTATGTTGTCAATTGCATTGGCATGAACGTAGTCGCATAGAGCTTTTGATATGTCAGCCCCTTCTATGACAACCTCATTAACGTTTATCTATTCCCAAACAAAGACAAATATAGGATCTACTTTGTGGGTGGACAAATTTGACCTTTCTATAGAGAAACCATGGATGAAAAAACTACGAAAAACCAAGGGAGAAGAGGGGCTTACGTTCTTTCGATTGCAGAAGCATCGGAAAGGGAGAAATAATTCCTTGCTGGTTTGGCTATCAACCGATTGAAACCTGTGCCCGTCTGATGAGTCTTGTGAAGAGGGTTTGTGGTTGACATGGAGAAGAGTGACACTTTTACCCTTGCCCAGAGAGAATTTATCAATGGCCCATTTCAATGCATACTGGCTCCCTTTGTCCTTGTCAATCGCAACCACAACAGATTCTATGTCTTTCTTCATGCCACCATTCTTTTGCCCCGTCATCATCATCATCATCCCTTTCTTCTTTCTTTTCTCGCCAAAATCCTTCTCGTCAAAAGATGCAAATTAGGAAGAAGGAACGAATGAATGTTCGGGACCTCCCTGGCCTGCCTGAGAAACGTTAGATCGAAGAACAGGTCTCTGGTTTCTTTTTTGGGGATGGCCGGGGAGGGAGGGAGGGTCTAGGAGGAGGAGAGGTATGTTCAACCTAGAACACGCCTTCCCAAAACACCATCCTCATTGTCATATTATCAGGACCATTTCTCTCTATCCCTCTCCTTCCCATCCCCAAAGACAAAGGTGGCGACACAATAGAAGCCATTCATTAACATGGGATCATCCTTAAACCAGCCTCCCACAAATGCGCGCTTCTTCTTGTTACACTTTGTTTGATTCCTTGTGTTTTGGCTTGAATTGTAATTGGGGGGATTCAAATAAATAATTAACCATTTTATGAAAATATAGTTTCGTACCAAAAAGTGTGCAACTATTCGAAACAATTAAAACATGAGAAATTTACCTAAATATGACTAAAACATAATGACTTTTCCAATATAGGACCATATGTTTTTATTTCCCAATGTAGGACTTTTGGACATTATTCTTCCCACTAGGTCATTATTAAGTCCTATTTAGAGAATAAAAAAATTTAAGTCCTACATTGGGAAAATCATTATGTTTTAGTTCTATTTAGTGCAAATTTTACTTAAAACATTTTGCAATATCACGACAAAGGTCACAATGGCCAGAATGGGAGTGGGATGGTTTTTATTCATATTTGAGTACATTAGAAAACTTATTTATAGAACCATTATATGAGACTTGTATTTATAGGCGGACAAAAGAAAAAATTACTTAAATATTTATATTACTTTAAAAAGTGTATATACTTACACATAACTATCTTAACTTGTTTCCTTGATTTGTTGAATCCTTTGTTTTGATGTTATGTAGTATATTTGTCCCAAAATAAGGTTGGACACTACATTCTTCACGGTCCCAAATAAAGTCATATCTTTAGATAGTTAAATCATATCTTCTTTTGTATATATTTTTTTTAGTTTTTTAAAATATGAACTTTATGCTTTAAATTTACATTAACTTTTAAATAAATTATATTGAAAATAATTTTAGTCAAATGTCATAAATCGCTTGTGAAACCATATTTATAGATGAACGGAGTATGAGCTAATGTTTGTTCAAGAGTGTAGGTACGATCTGAATCTATTATCATTAAAATTTTCAAAAATGCTGTAATAGCATAGAATTCCTATAAATGTTTTAAAATTGTGCTTAGTATACTCTATGAGTATAAGGTGAATGTATTTCCACTAGAGATGACAATCCAATCTGCAATTAAAATATCTAATTTCAAATCAAGAATAATTATTCGAACCTGGCCCGTTTTTATGAAACCCAAACCCAAACTAAATTGGGTTGGGCTTGGATTAAAGAATGTACCGAGCCAACGATACCCGATTGTACGCATAATAAAATATTAAAATTTAAAAAGGTGATAAGTTTAAATCAAATAGTATGATACTTATTAAATACCCCACTTATCTTAAGAGTTTTTTAATGCTATTTTCCCTTGAATTTTTCAAAAATTGTATGGATTTTCGTTAAAGTATAAAAATTGTGTCAATGCCTCTGAACTTTTAAAAATGTTACACCAATGGTTACTCTGCCAGATTTGGAAGTGCATAAATCACACGCTCATCCAGTGCAAGTATAAATTGATCTAAAATCATATATCACACGTGATTCTGTAATATGTCATTCCCAAACATTATTTTTTATATTTTTAATCTCTTTAAAACATAGATAATTTATCTTGACATCCACCTTTGGAAGTGTTTTTGAAAATGAGGGATTCTTAAGAAGAGAGATTTATGTTGTTTTTGTTCCTATGGTTTAAAAAATATTGAAATGTAAAAAGTACGGATAACTTGTTTTTTTTTTGAAAGACGTGAGTTGTTAAAAGTCACATATTTAAAAATGACATGGGGTTAGTCACATTCTATTTTGTTTGACAATCATAGTATGTTAAATTTATTTGTTTCTCTTTTTTTGTATTCTTAATATACTTAACTAAAAGTTTAACAAAAACATAAAGATTGGCGCGCGAATCAGGCAATGAATCGGGTAAGATTCATCACTTGATTTAACAAAAACATAAAGATTGCACATGCATTTGATTCGATTCATCATTTGATTTATCCGTCATTCAAGTATCATCTATATTCTTTGTTCTCCTGATTTTTGTCCATTTAACTCAGATTGGATGATTTGGAAAATCATTGGATAAAGATGATATTGTTATTCCTTCACAATTCTTATGCTCAAAACGTACGTAGAGCGACCATTTTTATTCTTTGAAAAGAAAAATGGAGAATTATGAATCTTGTTTTAATTTGGAGGGAAGAAAATTGAAAATGTTTATTTGCAGATGGCAGCAGCGGGCAGGTAGAATTAATCCAATGAATAGAAAACAATTTAGTACAAATATTTCATGGCATAAAAAGATGCAAATCAATGCTACTAATATAAAACAAGTAATTAAGAAACACATCTTGGCATTAAATAATCATCATTAATTCCCCTTAAGCTCTTCAATGCTCTTCACAGCCTCCTTAATATCCCACCTCTTCTCCACATCCACCTCACAGCACCTCATCCCTATCCTCAACAGCTTTCTCATCTCACCACACCACTCTCCATCACCACCTCCCACCAACCCTTCATCAAACACCACCTCCACCCCCTCCCCGCCGCCGCCGCCGCCAGTACTGGCGGTGGCGGCGCATGAGGACTCCACCCAAGCACCCAGCTCCCCGCCATCCCTCCCGGTCAAGATCTCCAGCACGAGCATCCCAAGAGCCCACACGTCGGTCTTCCTCGTGATCCGCCTCCCCTCTCGGTACTCCGGCGACTTGTAGGCCACCACGTGCTTCCGGGCGTGCTCCGCGTTCGCCACGGGCAGCAGCCCGTAGTCGTTGAGCAGCGGCTCGAAGGCGGCGTCGAGGAGGACGTTGGTGGATTTGAGGTGGCCGTGCGGGGCGGTCAGGCTGGGCAGCTCGGCGTAGAGGTAGGAGAGCCCTCTTGCCACTCCTTTCACCACCTTCAACCGAGTTGCCCAGTCCAGCCGCCTTCTTGATCCACATCCCGTTGGAATACCCTTGCTATTACCTTGTATTGCAGGAGAACAAAAAAACATCGTACAATAGTAAGTTTTCATGAGTTTGAGTTTATAGCAACCTGTCTAGAAAAAATAAGAGTATGAAATTGTACCAAAATAAGGTTTTTTTATTTTTTTATTTCCAAAACAAGAGTATTGACACCTCAAATTCTCAATTTGACATTATATGCTGGCATTTTACAATATTTTGACATTGTGTGTTGTTTTACATTTTATAGTCATTTTGAAGGTTCATTGAATTTACATGAATACCTCATACATTTTGGGAGAACATTATGTTAGAAAACTTACAAACATTTGAGTTTTTAATGGTACAAAACTTTTCTTGATTTAAATTTTTGGTTTAGTTAATTTATTAGAGTAATGTTATACTCACAAACAACTTTAACACAAGCTACAAAAACTTTCTAGTTGTGTACTTTTCCAAGTGAATAAAAGGATTTGAAATAATTTAAAAGTAAAAATTTAAATACACAAATAACAAGTTTTGTGAAGTTTGTATCAAGTTGTTTATAACTCTAACATTACTCAATTTATTAAGAGGAAAGAAATGCAATAATACCATGGAGATGAAAGGCCAAGCTGAGATTGGGAGCAAAGTCAGAGACCAAAAGCTTTTCCTCTTTCCTGTAATGGAACGCCACGACCGCCAGCAGATTGCGGTGGCTCAGCCTCCCCAGCCGTCTCATGTGCTCGTGAAAGTCTTCTCTCCCGACGTCGTTCATGTGCCTGAATCTCTTCACCGCCATGGTCCGCCCCCGGCCAAGTGCAGCTTTGTAAGTTGACCCAAATACCCCTCCGCCCAGCATCTCTGCCGACGCCTTCAGCAGCTCATTTAGGTCGAATCTCTCTCTGTTTTCCACCAAGAACGACAGCTTCATGCCCTGCTCCGGTCTCTTCCCGTCCGGCGGCGGCGGCGTCGGGCATTCCGGCGAGATCAACTCCGCCTCCGAACCGCCTCTTTCGAGCTCGTCCCGTGGCGGTGTTTTCAGGTGGGCGACGGATGGCCCGTCCTCCGGCACGGGCAAGCGCTTGCGCGTGGTGAGGATGACGACCGCCACCACGATAGCCGCCAGTGTTGCCGCTAAGGATATCCCGACGATCACCTTTGATGCGGTGGATAACTTGGGAGTGTCCACGCACGGTTTCAACGGCAGTCCGCAAAGACCAATATTCCCTGTTTTTTTAAGTTTTACACCATTCATCTTAGTAAAAATTAATACCAGAAAAATAGGGAGTAATTTTTTTCGATAAAACATAATGATTTTTTCAATGTAGTACTATATGCTTTTATTTTTTAATGTAGTACCATTGTCAATATCCGTTGGTCATTATTCAAGTAAATGTCCAACGTTGTTGGACAATGTTCAAACAAAATGTACACAATTACTGGATATTGTTCCCATGACTAGACATTATTCAAGTACTCCCTCCGCCCCCCTAAAATCTTGTCGTTTTGATTTTTTGTGGTTTTTTTAAGGAGAGTTGAAAAAAGGTGAAAGTTTACCATAATACCCTTAATGAAAATGGATGAAATGTATTAAATGAGGTGGGTGAGGTGTAATAAATAAAGTAAGTGAGGGTAATTATGATATTTTAATTGTTAAAAAAGGTAATGAGAAGATCTATGGTGGACAAATAAAAAGGGCTAATGGAAAGAATTATGGGGGACGGAAGAGTTCCATTTAAGAAATAAAAAATTAAATACAACATTGGAAAATAACATATATTTTAGTACTATTGATTGCAGATTTTACAATAAATTTTCTTTTTCTTATTGACATGCAATATTATTTATGTTATATGAACACCTGCAAACGAGGAAGGATTGAGGTTAGAGAAGGCGAGAGGGATTTGACCCACAAGTAAATTGTTGGACAAATTCACCAAGGTAAATCTCTCTTGCTTAAACTCCGGTATTCTCCCGGCAAACTTATTGTCCTCTATCATCAACTCCACCAGTTTCCCCAGGGTGGTCAACGACCGTGGGATGGGCCCCACGAAGCCGTTTCCGGCCAAATGCAGCTTCTTCAACGAGTTCATCCCGTCGAAGTGCCCGCCCGGAATCCTGCCGGAAAACCTGTTGTGGGACAGGTAGAGGTTCTTCAGGGAACCCAGTTTCCTGAAGTCCGGCAACGGTCCTTCGAAGCTGTTGTTCATGGCGCCGAAAACCCTAAGACTCGTCAGCTCTGCCAGGGCGGCGACGTCCAGGGTCCCACCCAACCCCTTGCCGTTCAGGTTGAGCCCGTGGACCCTGCCGTCGCCCTCGCACATGACCCCGTCCCAATTGCGCCGTGCACCGTCGCACGGCGGCTGGGAGAGGTTCCAACCAGACAGCGCGACGGCATTGTCCAACGACTCCTTGAACTTCAGAAGGATGTCTGCGTCGTCACATCTCGCGGGAGACGGTGCGGCGAGAAAGCCAATGAGTAGGAGAATGATAAGAGAATTACTGTTGATTACCAGACAGGGAGAATGATGTGTATAGAATAAAATCGCGGATCGATGATTCATGGTACTGCAATGCAGGTATACATTTGTGTGTTTCGAGTGCGGGCCCTCCTTGAGGGGCTTGCTCCCGAAACGAATTTCAAAAGAAAAGGGAGAAATATAATCGAAGAAAGTTAAGGCTTTGCTAGAAATGAAAGATGGGGTTGACCGAAGTTGGAGAGGGGAAATTGCACTTAGAAGGTGGCGAAGAAAGGAAATGAAAGGAAGAAAAATGGATATAGGTGGAAAGACAAGTCATTAAGGGGGTGTTTGTTTTTTTGCCAGAAGACCTTCTGGCATCTTTTGTCTGCGCCGCGCAGACGCGCGCAGATGATGGGCTCTGCAGATTGTTTGTTTTTTGGAAGACATTTCACTCAAAAAGGTCTTCCTAGCATCTTCTTGGAGAAGACATTAACCAATGTCTTCTAACATCTTCTAACATCTTCTCCTTTTTTTCTACTTCTCTTCACCACCACAACCGTCCACCGCCACCGTCCACCACTACCACCATCCACCA